CTGATGAGTCGGTGAAACTCCGACGAAACAGTTTGTCACAGCCCCTCGTTTGTTGTCCTCTTCTCTCTCTCTGCCTACGGTTTACCGGGCAGTTCTATTTGTGACGATATATATATATATATATATCTGTTTAGCAGGCTCGTTCTTTGGCTATGGTAGAATATACTCTTTTCTAATTCTCCTTTCTAAGTTTCTATCCTTTTTCTTTTTTCTTTTGCTTTGCTCTTCCCCATTGTTGAGGTATTTCGTTTTACGGACCTACTGTATGGTTCCGTTTTTTCAAGTATTGGTTATGGTAGATGGTATTTTTGGTACTCTTTGTCTGCATCCCAGTTGGTTTTGTCTCGTTGTTCGGTTCATGTGGCGGTGGTTTCATGTGGGACTTGTCATCCGGGTTTTTCCTTTTGGCATCCTAGTTGGCTGGTTCCCGTTGTTTGGCCTATCGAAGGGGGTGGTGCTTTTAGGTGGGTACCGTCATCTGGGATGGTCTTCATATAGTTTTTTTTGCAGGCAAGGGTGTTGATTGCTATCCTGGTTGGTCATTGTCCCGTCGTTTGGCCTGTGACGTAGGGGGTGGAGATGCATGTGGGACTTGTCATCTAGGATCTGTTATGTTTGTTTTTTGGCACCCTTGTCTGCATCCCAGTTGGTTTTGTCCCGTTGTTCGGTCTATTTTGGCGAGCATAGCGGTGCTTTCATGTGGGACCAGTCATCTGGGTTTTTATGTTGTTCGGCGTATGAGAGCATGAATGGTTTAGGAATGGGAATACCAACGTCTTGATGATGAACAAGGCCATCTGCTGCATATAGATATGTATTTGGGATTTCTTTTTTTGCAGGCAAGAGTGTTTTGATATCCTGGTTGGTCTTGTCCCGTTGTTTGGCCCATGAAGTTGGGGGCGGTGCTTACATGTGGGGCTTGTCATCCAGGATCTTGTCGCCCCCTGTTTTGTTATATTTGGCTGTTCCCTTCCTCTTTTCTTTGTGGGGCTTGTCATCCAGGATCTTGTTGCCCCCTGTTTTGTTATATTTGGCGGTTCCCTTCCTCTTTTCTTTGCCTCTTTACCTTTTGGCTATGTGCAAGTGGGTCGATATGACACACGGGGGTGGGGGCAGCCGCCGCTCAACCACATCCACGTGGGCGGCCTTGTACACAAAAGGTTCTGAACAGGGGGAGTTGTAAGTAAGAAGATGAAAAATGAATTGATATCTTTTTTGTTTCCTTTCGTTTTTTCGCTTTTGCGCTCTGATAACTTTGTGACAATACATACAGGGTAACCGGCGTTCGGGACGGGCCGAACGCACGAACCTGAACGCCCGAACGTACGGGACACCTTGGGGATGCATTCGGCCGTTCGGGCCGAACGCGGACCCCCCCAAAAAAAAAAAAAAAAAAAAACACAATTCAAAAAACGGTTTTAAAACCTGAAAAAAAAATGTTATGAAGAAACATAAAATAAACAACATTTGCCTTAGCATTACGTTCGAATTCCCTACAAAATTTCAAATTTGAAATAAAAATAAAATACAGGAAATAAAACTAATAAGAAAAGTAAGAAAAAATGAAAAGAGAATTAAAATTACTAATTAGCTGAGTGAGGACGCCGCCTGGCCGGGCTGGGCCCAGCCGGTTGGGCCCGGGGGGGCCGTCCGGGTAAACCGGGCAGGACAAAAAAACGCCCAGATTTTTTTTTTTTTTTTTTTTGAAACCGGGG